TAAAACGAAAAGAGAATAATAGTTAGTAGATGAAAAATTAAATTCAGCAAAAAATAGAACATCAAAAGTTGGTAATTCTCTGAGAAAATTGAAGTGATGAGTCGTAGCCTGCATTCTTGGAAAAGATAATTAATGTTTATTGACCAAACTTATGAAATATTAAGTAACAAAAACAGTTCAAAATAAATAAACAATTAATTAATTAATCAACCAACCGAAAATCTTTGACAAAATAAAATTTAAATTATAAACAAATAAACAATTTTTTTCTAAGAACACATATTAAAAATATAATTAATATATTTTTTTATAATTAATTTATAAAAAATATAAATATAAAATTTAATTTAATTAATTAATTAACTAAAATTATTTACATATTAATAATATTAAAATAAATATTAATTTTTATAATTTTTAATATAAATTAATTACAAAATAATATATTTATTAAATATTTAATTTTTTTTTTTAAAACACAAATATAAACCTACACATAAAATGAAGAGGGAAGGCACTAGAGGGCGATTCCACTGGCCTGCCCACCTAAATTTCTAAAAACCATCAACGCCTAATCAGTGATATGTAAAGTGGCTTTGGACTTTCCATTTATCCTTTATGTCAATTTAGGACTCATTTCAAGCAGAATCAAAAGATAACAAAAGTAGGGGATCCTCTCAAATCACAAGGCCTGACAAGGATATTTGCACCTTATGTCCTTTTACGCTTTCTATGTATGTACTATTTACCATGTTGCGTTATACCATAATTATAATTATAGATTTTTTAATTTATGTGTAATTAATTGTTAAAATTAAAATCAAAATTTTTTTATATAATTAAATAATAAAAAAATATATTAATTACATTTTTAATTTATGCACTAAAAATATAAGTTAAAAAAATTCACTTACAATTATATATTTTTTTATTTTCATTATTTAACGGCCTCAATACAGAGGCCGCAAATCCAGCGGCCTTGGTAGCGTTCCCGGCCGCAGAGGATGGAGGCCGAATTGCATTCCTCAATAGCAATCGCATTTGATGGACTGGATTTCGATGAGAGGAGTGACTTTGGTTGACGGTGGCTGAGTCTCTGGGCTGGCGAATGCCATTGCTTGAGATAGAAAATTGGAGATTGGCGGTAACATACTTTGAAATGATTTGAGTTTTGAAATTGAAAATCGTCTGGGAAGAACAGAAAAACAAACGGGTTTACACAAAATTGTTAGGTAAATTATCCATACTGACAAAATTATCTATCTATAAAGGTAAAAATATATATTCATGATAAAATCTATGCTCACATAAAATGGTATATATAGACAGAAAACTTCCTGTCACTATAAATACATTTGCTTGTGGTGAATAAATCAATAAAAAAAATCACAAATGAATCTTAAAAAAGAAAAGATTTAAAAGAAAATAAATTAGTATCATAAAAGATACTTTTGAAAACTCAAATCTTTAATACTAATTTTAGCCCCTCCTAATTGAATTTTCTGGCTCCCTCCCTGCAGTTTCTTCCTTGAGGGCTCTGCCGTGTTGACGGTTGCAGACAGGAAGCGAGGAGATGAGATAACAACCTGTAGACAAAGCCATGTAATATTGATCAAACTGTACTCATAATTCTCGTCATCATCCACTACAGGCTACAGTCTAATAGTGTAATACCTAAGGATTTCTTACTTATGATTTAAATAAATTACTCAAGCTCTTAAAGGGTGTATATGTGATAGGATTAAATTTGGAGTTAAATTTATAATGAGGTGAGAAACTCAGGGACTAAACCTTATAGTTTAAGCTCAGGGACTAAGTGGCAATAATTCCTTTTTGTAAAGAAACCCCAAATCAGATTGTTCGGCAGTTTCATTCTTTTTCTTTCCCTTCGGGAAACAGGATCGCCGTCTTCTTCCTCTTGTCTACAAGGGAGAAATAGCTCTAGGGATCTGCCATACTAGACTAAAATTCAAGGTAAATTGTCTCTTGAAACTTGAAATATTTAGGAATTTGGAATGAAGGGAATGGGTAGATGCATGGGTTAAGAAATTGATTTTACTGTTGATTTTGGAATTGATTTTTAAATTGTGAATTTGGGTGGGATATGAGGAATTTTCAAGGGGAAATCATCTAATTGGGTGGTTAGTTTTTCAAGAGTATGTGTTGGAGTAGTTGGATTTGAAGAAGAATATATCAGTGATATGGGTTATAGAATTATTTTAGTAGGTGCCTGATAAGTACAAGATAAACTTTTATATAGTGATTGAATTATGTTTATTTTGATGTTTATTTAGGTTTCGAATAACTATGTGGAATTGCATTTTAAGAGATAGTTATTGAAGTAAGTAGCTATACCCTCCAATGGTTTTAAAATAAATTGATATATTTAAATGGGTTTTGCCAGATTTGATTTATTTATCTATTTGATTATTTATTCATCTATCTCTTAGAGAATGATTTGTACTAAATATTTTTAATGATGGAATGAGATGATTTGTGAATCGAGCATAATATTTTTATTTAAATTTGAGATGAGATTGTGGTCATGTGGAGGTGGCTAATTTAAATGTGTTTTCTCCAATATTATTGAAATTGTTATTTTTGGAACGGTTTCTTTTATTTGTCCTGGCTGGATAATTCACCCTTGTGAGGGTTGAGTTGTTGGTATTGTGATAGACCCGGGATCTATGGATTGTGAATTGTGGATTGTGGATTGTGGATCGTGTATCGTGGATTGATGATTGAGTATCATTGATCGTGGATTGTGGATTGTTGCACAGCCATAAGGGGCGAATAATGAAATATTCTGGTTTTAAGGAAAAAATTATATTTTTTTTATCGTTTCATTTTCAATAAAAACGCGGTTTTAAATTTTTATGCTTGGTTGTGATGGATGGATATACTACTTACGGAGTTCTTAAACTCACGTTTTTAAATCTCATCTCATTTCAGGTGAGGAAGTATGAGCATCGGGATTTGCATAGGGATTGAGAGATCGTTAGAATAAATTGATAGAGTTTAGCAATAGCTCAATTGGAAGTTTATTTGGTTTTATGGAATAAGATGTTAAACACTCTATGTTTTGGTTAAGGGATTTGATAGTGTTATTTGGAGACATGTAAAATTTGTTAATGGAATTGTTTATATTAAAATTGCAAGAGAGATTGTATTGACAGCCAAGGAAAATGGCATTACACATTTATAGGGCTAACCTAATGATGTGTGGCGTTTGCTATGCCTAAACCTTTGGGTTGGGGTGTGACTAATAGAAACAGAAAACCAGATCTATAGCAGTGAAAGCATGAAAAAACACCTATTTCCATTTCTCCTAGCCTTTAAAGTCTGAAATTAATCTTGACCATGTCATCAAGTTTTTTCATTAGCAGAGTCTAAGCAATTGTAGAACTTACATCATCAAGGTGACTAGGTTCATTCATGGCAACTTCCTTGCTTCCTAACAAAGTTTCCCACTGAAGGACACATGATTTGAGAAACATATATCAATAGATAATATGAAAATAAATAAATAAACAAACATGTTGGACTTTCTAAGAGTTATTTTCAGCAGATTTCTCTAACAGTTAACATATTAATTCCATAACATTAGAAGATTATGAGAAAAGTTTCTATATACCTTGTCCACTCCTCATTCCTCTGCAATTAGAGAGAAAATTAAGTTCCATAATTAGAACATCAACAACAGTAACTTATATAACTGCATTATATTGTGCTTTAGACCCATTTGAGTTTGATCGCATTAGTGCTTGTGTGAGTGCCAAGGAAATTTAGGACAAGCTGGAAGTTGCTCATGAAGGTACTAATGAAGTGCGAAAGAGCAAAATGAACAGACTTGTCCAACAATATGAACTATTCAAAATGAATCCAGATGAAGCTATTAAGTCTATGTTTACTTAATTTACAAAAATCACTAATGAGCTTGTTTATTTTGATAAGGTTTACTTAGAAGAGGAAAAGGTGAGAAAGATCCTACGATCACTCCCCAAGGCTTGAGCAACATCCGTACGACCATTGAGGAAGCTCACAACTTGATTCATATGACAACTGAAGTGCTTTAAGGGAAACTTCTCACTCATGAGATGGCTATGAAGGACTATGACAATGAGGAGGAGAATAAAAAGAAAAAGACCATTGCACTCAAAGCTACTCAACACAATGAAAGTGAGGAGGAAGGTGACTCAGATGAGGATATTGCGATACTCACCAAGAAATTTAAAAAGTTTCTGAAGAAAAAAAATTTCAAAAAGCAAGGAGGACTAAAAAGGAATAACAAAAATGATAGATACAAGGGGGATTCAAACAAGAAGGACGGAATCATATGCTATCATTGTAAAAAGCCTGGACATGTGAAGTTCAAATGTCCTTTTGGCAATGAGAAAAGTCTCAAAGTAAAGGAAAAGAAGAGTAAGAAAGCCTTGGTGACAACTTGGAGTGATGATAGCTCAGACAAGGAATCAAGTGACTTTAAAGTGGCAAACTTATGTCTCATGGCTAGAGAAGAGGACACTCAAGAGGTAAGCTCTAAATCCATACCTAATGATGAGTTTAATTCTTTAGAAGAGTTACCAGTTGCATTTGATGAATTCTATGAGGAATCTAGAAAAATGAGTGCAAAAAATGCTAGCCTCAAAAACACCATTGCTTCTCTTTTAAATGAAAAAGAAGGTTTACAAAATGCTCTTACGAAAGCTACCCTAAAAAAGGAAGAGGTACAAAAATCTTTTGATGACTTATTTTTTGAAAATGCTCTTCTCAAGAAGAATGATTTGCACAAGATAGTTGAGTCTTTGAAAAATGACAACACAAATTTGAAAAAGGTTTTAGACACTCAAAGTGAATCTTTAGAAAATGAAAGAAATACACTAATTTCAAAATGCAATGAGCTTGAGAAGAAAAATGGAGATTTAAGCAACACGGTTTCAAAACTCATTGAGGGAAGCAGTAAACTCCAAACTATTTTAGTTGCCCAAAGGAATACTAGCATCAAAACTGGTATTGGGTATAAGGGATCAAGTGGATCAACCACATATACCACCAAATTTGTGAAAGCTAGCCATGATCCATCTACTGGCTTTCAAAATCAAGGTGGAAAATCAAGCACTCAAAAGAGATATATTATAACATGCCATTGTTGTTGTAGGAAAGGTCATCATGTTTCTAGATACTTTATAAAATGGGGTGCGTCAAATGGATCTAAATGGATATGGGTTCCAAAAGGATCCATATCAACCTTGACTAACACTCATGGACCTAAGAAAATTTGGGTACCAAAGCCAACATTCTAAGATTGTGTTTGCATAAATGCCTCAAGGAAAAGGAAACAAAGAAGAAAAAAAAAAGCAAATGGCACTTGGATAGTGGGTGTTCAAGACACACGACTAGTGATAGATCTCAATTCCTCACTTTTGAAGAAAAGGAACAGGGCATTGTAACATTTGGAGACAATGAAAAAGGATGCATCCTTGGAATGGGAAAAGTAGGTAAGAATACCAGTGTTTTAAAAATCGACCCAAAGGTCAAACCATTTTGACCACCAGGTCTCGGTTTGACCGATTTAACCAGTTAAACCTTGAAAACCATCAGTTCAATCAAATATCAATAAATATAACATTTAGCAATAATCTAGTTTCATTGGTTAGTTGTCTTGTCCCTCACAATGAGGGTGGAGGTTCGAGCTCAAGCCCAGGCGATGTCAAATATAATTAGCATGTATCTAACCTACCATCTATAATATAATAATAGATTTTTATTAGATAGATTAAAAATATAATAAATATAACTTTTATAATTAATTTATATAAAAAAATTGTAAAAATTGATTTTAAATTAATTAATTAACTAATTAAAATTATCTACATAAATGTCAATTTTTATAATTTTTTTATCTAAATTAATTATAGACAAATGTTAAAATTTTATATTATTATATTTTTTATCTATAATATATTAATAAGTTTTTCTTACAAA